ACTATGGTGAAACATTGGTTCTTGTTTTGTTTTTTTTTTAATGTTAGGAAAATACTCCATCTCTAGGAGATGACTAGGTACTGTACTATTTGAATAAGAAGATGGTAATGAATTGATTTGTTATGCCATCAGTACTGATTTAAATGCATTTTCTAATTCAGAACAAAAATGTTACCTTGCCTTTTTCCAGATTGAAAGAATCGATCAGCTTTTTCTGGCTGGAGGACTCCGTCATCTCATGTTTTACTATCAGGATGTCGAGGGAGCAGAAGCAGGTATTGATATTTGACATGACATAGCCTAGAAATGTCATTAAATTCATCTGAGAGTAGGAAAAAGAAGAAAGGTAACAGAGGACTAAACAAGTTTCTTATGCCTTGGTGTATTAGGGCTGTGTTGTGTATATGTTGTGTACTATTTTTGTGGTGTGTATGTGTGGTACATGTGTGTTGTATATGTGTATATGATATCCTTGTGTTGCATATGTATGATGTGTGTATATATATGTGTGTAATGTTTTTGTGGTGTGTATGTGTGGTATGTGTGTGATGTCCTTGTGGTATTTATGTATGGTGTGTGTGTAGTGTTTGTGTATATATGATATATATATGTGATATATATGTGTGTGTGTGTGTGTGTGTGTGTGTGATATTCCTGTAGTATGTATGTATGTATGGTGTGTGTACAGTGTATGTGTGTGCCCCTGTGGAAGGGTGTCTGTTTTCTTCTTCAGGCTAGAGGTTGGAGAATGGTAGTCAGCCTAGGTGTTCTAATTGTTTCCTTTTCCTTTTGATTTGTCATGCCAGCAATCAGGGGACAATCTGTAGCTAGAGTTTTTCTGCCTGGCCCACAGTCAGGACAAATCTCTGTCACCCGCCAGTCCCAAGCCGCTCAAACCCAATCAAGTAAACACAGAGACTTATATTGGTTACAAACTGTATGGCCGTGGCAGGCTTCTTGCTAACTGTTCTTACAGCTTAAATTAATCCATTTCTATTAATCTATACCTTGCCACGTGGCTTGTGGCTTACCGGTACTTTACATCTTCCTTGTCCTGATGGCAGCTGGCAGTGTCTCCTCCCTCTGCCTTCCACTTCCCAGCTCTATTCCCCTCCTTGTCCTGCCTATATTTCCTGCCTGGCCACGGGCCAATCAGTGATTTATTTATTGACCAATCAGCAACACATTTGACATAAACACCATCCCACAGTACTTCCCCTTTTCTTTTCTTAAAAAGGAAGGTTTTAACCTTTACACATCTCCAAAGTCAGCTTGGTATATTTGGGAATTTGGGCGTAGCTTCTTTTACTACTTCCTGCTGGAGGGGGGCGCTGTATCTTATGGGGACACAAAGAATATTTTAGGATTATGGAGTAGTCCATGAGGGTGTATCGTCTGAGCCAGTTGCTTTGAAACGGTTCTGGATGTTGGATCATCTGGGCCATGGTGTCATCGGAGACCTTTCAGGGGGTCTTGGCTGGTCAAACCTGATGTGTCTTAATCTGGAACAAATCCATAGCCTCTGGCTTTCTGTGGAAACAAAAGCAGAATCTCCTTTCCAAAGCAACATATCCTTATATCCAAATTTTGAAGTCAAGGTACCTTTAAAATATACATTTTGGCATAACTCAACAGCTTTTACAATCAAATGTTTTTCTTTAGTTACAAATATCAAAGAGAACATAATCCAGATTCTTTGTGTGGTAGCCATCTTTACGTGGCTTATTTTTTTATATTAGCTTGAGCCTATTGCTTTGAACTGCAGCCTTCTAAGCCTGAAATGGCTGGTGCTGTGGCTGCTGGCTCCGCCCACTTCAGCTTCCCAACATGGCGGCGGTATGCTTACCGCCAGCTCTGGGAGCCATTGTGGGTCTATGTTTTTATCCAAGCAGCATGTAGCCCAGAAACCTCTTTTTTGTTTTGTACTAGCAAAGGCTAAATCTACAATGTAGCTTAATGTGCCACTTGCAGAGGCCTCATTCTCGCCATATGGTGGCAGGTCGAGAGCACACGCCAGCAACCCGCCAGTAGCTCAAACTGGCAGCTGCCGCTCATTTGAGAGAGACAATTAGGAACTGTTTTTAGCTCTGTTTTAGAATCTTTTTTTTTTTTTTTTTTCAGGTTTTAGGTGGAATCTCTTGCCCCACGTTGGGCGCCATTTGTAGCTAGAGTTTTTCTGCCTGGCCCACAGTCAGGACAAATCTCTGTCACCCGCCAGTCCCAAGCCGCTCAAACCCAATCAAGTAAACACAGAGACTTATATTGGTTACAAACTGTATGGCCGTGGCAGGCTTCTTGCTAACTGTTCTTACAGCTTAAATTAATCCATTTCTATTAATCTATACCTTGCCACGTGGCTTGTGGCTTACCGGTACTTTACATCTTCCTTGTCCTGATGGCAGCTGGCAGTGTCTCCTCCCTCTGCCTTCCACTTCCCAGCTCTATTCCCCTCCTTGTCCCGCCTATATTTCCTGCCTGGCCACGGGCCAATCAGTGATTTATTTATTGACCAATCAGCAACACATTTGACATAAACACCATCCCACAGTAACAATCAGGCAGATTTTGTTTTGATACTTACTTTTCTTATGTGTCAGTTCCTTCTGTGTAACCATAATTTAAAACTTCCGGTAGGCATTGGATTTTTAACACAGGAATTCTTGTCGATAAGCATAGCATCAACTTCCTTCGGTTAAATACCACATTATGTTTATCTTCTTCTGGTTTTGATGGAAATGTGTAATGTTGAATGATGGATTTAATAATTGCACTTAAGAAAACATTATACGTCTTTGTATGAATTCAACTGCCTGTATCCCATTATGCTTTGTAAAAATTAATTAATTAATTAATTTTACATCCCAGCTGCAGTTTTACCTCCCTCCTCTCCTTCCAGTCCCTCCTCCAACTCCCTCCTCTGTTCCCACGCCCCCAATCCACTTCTCCTCCTTTTCTATTTAGGAAAAGGCAGGTCTCTCAGAGCATCAACAAAACACGGCATAGTTGTAGTAAGACTAAGTACCTCCCATGTATTAAGGCTGGGCAAGGTGGCCCAGTGTGAGGAGTAGGGTCCCAAAAACTTGTATACGGGTTTGAGGCAGGCCCTTTTTCCACTGTTAGGAGTCCCCTAAGGGGACTAAGTAACACAGCTGTAACATATATGCAGAATGCCTAGGTCAGTCCCATGAGGCTTCCCTGGTTGTAGGTTCAGTCTCTGTAAGCCCCAATGAGCCCAGGTTAGTTGATTCTGTGGTTTTTTGTAATGTCCTTGACCTCTCTGCTTCCTTCAATCCTTTCTTCCCCTCTTCTGTAGGATCCCCAAACTCTGCCTAAAGTTTGGCTGTGAGTCTGCCTCAGTTTCCATCAGTTGCTGGATGGCACTCTCTGATGACAATTGGGCTAGGCACCAATCTGGTCACAGGAGATGGCCAGTTCAGACTACATTATCTACTATTGTTAGGAGTCTTAGCTGGGGTCATCCTTGTAGATTCCTGGGCTATTTCCTTACCCTGAAATGCACCCTCTTTCAGTAGTCTTTTTCAGTACTCTCTCTCTCTCTATCCACCTCAACCCAGTTGCTCATGTTCCCATCACCACTTGCCCTCAGCCCACTCACAAATCTCTTCTATTTCTCCTTCCCAGGGAGATCCAGGTGTCCCCCCCCCCATGGCCCCTCTTTGGTACCTAGTCTCTCTGGGTCTGTGGAATATGGCATAGTTATCCTTTATTTTACAACTAATATCCACTTATGAACTTTCCTCTTAGTACTGCTTTCATTGTGTCCCATAAGTTTGGGTATGTTGTACTTTCATTTTCATTGAATTCCAGGAAGTCTTTAACATCTTATTTCTTCTTTGACCCAATGGTAACTCAGTAAAGAATTGTTCAGTTTCTATGAGTCTGTAGGTTTTCTGTTGTTGAAACCCAACTTTAATCCATGGTGGTCTGATAAGATACAGGGAGTAATTTCCTGGTTTTTTTTTTTGGGGGGGGGGTATCTGTTGAAACTTGCTTTGTGGCTGAGTGTGTGGTCAATTTTGGAGAATGTTCCATGTGGTGCTGAGAAGAAGGTATATTCTTTTGTGTTTGGGTGAAATGTTCTGTAAATATCTGTTAGGTCCATTTGAGCCATAACATCTGTTAGAACCATTATTTCTCTGTTTAGTTTCTGTCTGGATGACCTGTCTGTTGGTGAGAGAGGGATGTTAAAGTTTCCCACTGTTATTGTGTGGGGTTTGATGTGTGATTTAAGCTTTGGTAATATTTCTTTTACAAATGTGGGTGCCCTTACATTTGGGGCATAGATATTCAGAATTGAGACATCATCTTGGTGGATTTTTTTATTTGATGAATGTGAAATGACCTTTTCCATCTCTTTTGATAGTTTTGGTTGGAAGTCTATTTTGTTATAGATTAGGATAGCTACACCAGCTTGCTTTTTGGTCCATTTGATTGGAAAATCTTTTTCTAACCCTTTACTCTGAGGTAATGTCTACCTTTGATGTTGAAGTGTATTTCTTGTATGCAGAATGATGGATCCTGTTTCCATATCCATTCCATTAGCCTGTGTCATTTTATTGGTGAATTGAGTCCATAGACATTGAGGGATATTAATAACGAATGGTTGTTAATTTCTGCTATTTGTTGTTGTTGTGTGTGTGTGCATGTGTGTGTGTTTGTTTTTCCTTTCATTGGGTTTTGCTGGTGTGAAATTATCTATTGCTTGTGTTTTTATGGGTATAGTTCACTTCCTGGGGTTGGAGTTTTCCTTCTAGTACCTTCTGTAGGGCTGGGTTTGTGGATAGATATTGTTTAAATTTGACTTTGTCATGAAATATCTTTTTTTCTCATCTATGGTGACTGGCAGTTTTGCTGGGTATAGTAGTCTGGGCTGGTATCCCTGGTCTCTTAGAGTCTGTAGGATATCAGTCTAGGCTCTTCTGGATTTTAGGGTCTCCATTGAGAACTTGCATGTGATTCTAATAGGTCTGCCTTTATATAAAAATATGAACTGCTTCCCTAATTTGTGTGTCATCCTTGTGCAGGGGCCATGCTAATTTTCTCTGCATTATTCTAATTTTAGTGTATATGCTGTCAAAGTGAGCTCTCCATTATGCTTGAAATTAGATTAACATCAGTTAAAGGTCAAAGTAGGAGCATGACTAAATACATTATGCTTATAGTATTGTATTCATCCTTTTAAGACCTTTGAAAATTGGAAATAGTTATCAACCTTGTCAGGTGGTGTGGAAATGCTTCTTTGTTTCACAGAGACATTGTTTGTGGATAGAGACAGAGTAGATTCTTCAATTGGTAAAGTACTTGCCACCCAAGCACAAGGACCTGAATTCTTATCCCCAGAGCCCACGTTAAAAAACAAAACAAAACTTGGTATAGACTGTGCCTATAATTTCATCATTGGGAGGGCAAAGCCAGGAAGATTCCTGGAGCTCATTGGCCAGCAAGCCTAGGCAGTTAGTGAGTTCTAGGTTCAGTGAAAGACCCTGACGTACAAACATAAGAGCAATTAATTCATAAAGACACTCAGTGTCAACCTCCATCATGTGTGTCCATATACATGCATGCACCTTTAAACACACACACACACACACACACACACGCATGCACACACATACATACAAATTAATTACATGTGAAAATTTTGAATAGCTGATATTTCTTTAGTTATAAATTTAATTCTTTTTATTGAGACAGAATTTCTCTGTATAACAGCTCTGGTTGTCCTGGAACTTGCTTTGTAGACCAGGCTGGTCCAAACTCACAGAGAGATTCCTGCCTCTGCCTCCCGAGTACTGGAATTAAATTAGCATGTGCCACCACCACCCGGCTTAAATTTGATTTTTTCCCCACAAAAATGCTTATTACATTTTGAATAAAAAGAATCCAAAAGAATAAAAATAGAAGTTTTGATTTCCATCTCAGATTGCAGAACTTGAGCTACACCAGGAAGCATCATGTTCAGCCATAACCATGACCAGGGTGAAATTGCTCAGTCCATGTAAATTGCACAAGACAGGAAGGGCTCACAGCATCTCAACATATAAGCAAGATTTTTTTTGTTTCTCTCTCATTCTCCTTTTTAGTCTTTTCAGCATGGATAGTTCTTCTGACCTTGGAGTAAGAATCAGCCCCTGAATGTCTTTTCTAGACATTCTTTGGAAAAGTTCTTATGGTTATTTCAAATTGAAAAGACAGTATTGATTTAAACAAGAAGAGTATCCAGTTGACCAAAACTAGTTGGTCAGAAGTGAGGTGAACGCACCGTTCTTTGCACTCACTCTCTGCTTTCTCTGAGCCTCATCCGGAGCCGCAGACGGTTTCCACTTGTGTTGTGAGAGGCACTCATGATTCTCCTTTGCTTCGCCCTTCATCCCAATTCAGCTCAGGTAAATCGCAGTGTCTGTGTCAGATCGGAGGCCAGATACAGACAAGAAGTGAGGCCGAGAGGGAAGTTTACACTTGACTGCTACTGCTGGGCTCTCTGAGCTCACTCTCTTGCGACCATGGTGGGTCCCCTGTGGGGCAGTGCCTACACAGCCCACAGTGGTGTGCTGTCCCTATAAACCAGCAGCCCTCTGCCGTGGTGTTTCACAGTGCATGCCAGCTGGATTCCATCGGTTTTGTACGCTCCCAGCATGCCTCTTGAGCACGTGGCTCCATGTTGGTTCTCTCCACAGAAGTTGCCCCACCCTTCTCAGCTGAAGCACTTACTCTCTTGTCATTTCAAATGTAGGGCTTTGGTTAGCTACCATCCCAGGCCCACTTCTCTCTGTGTATGTTGTGTGCTGTGTTTGGATTTATTGGCAACAGTCTTCATATCCCAGCCCATGACATCCCCAAGATCCAGGAGGCATAAATAACTCAGACTTTATTGGAGGTCACATTGAAAATCCTGCTTCTTACTAAGGGTGTGACTGTCTTTCCTTGCCTGAGACTTTCCTGGTTCTAGCATCCTAGAGAAACTCCCTGCTCTGGGGCAGCTAGGACAGTGCTTGCCTCCTTCTTGACCTGAAGCAAACGCAGAAGGATTTCACAGTTCCTGTGTACAGCACCATTGCCTACACCCCAGATTTTTCCTAGAGACTGTTTCCTGGTATCTATCATATCTTGGTGACTTGGTTGTCTTGCACCTTACTGCTAATCAGACCTGAGTGCATTCATGAGAAGTGAGGCTTCATTTGAATGCTAGAATATCTGGCTGTCCTTTTTTTTTCTGGTCCTTCCCCAAAGTCCTATTCAGAAGCTCAGCACCATGAGGAAGCACCTTGAGGGAGGAAAAGATGTATTCTCAGGGCTCAGAACTCAATATCGGTTCCACTACCTTCCCCCAAATTCTTCCCTGAACCCCAACCTCTCATCTTAGTGGGAGTAAATTGAACCTTCAATTCACTCAAGGCTACTAAATTTACTTGAACACAACAATACTACAACACAGAGCATGTTCTGATGTACTTAACCGATCCACTCTGCAAACAATTAGTTTAGACAACCAGCATGAGCTTTCAGATCCTTCTGATAATCTTGATGAGCTAATAAGTTTATGAAATTATGTAAGTGATTTACACACAAACTCCTTTAATCCTCACAAAAATTTTGCAAAAATTTTTACAAAAAAAAATGTTAAATTAGAATAGCCTTTTCCGCCGGTTGGTGGTGGTGCATGTCTTTAATCCTAGCACTCGGGAGGCAGAGCCAGGCGGATCTCTGTGAGTTCAAGGCCAGCCTGGTCTACAAAGCAAGGTCCAGGACAGGCACCAAAACACCACAGAGAAACCCTGTCTCAAAAAAAAAAAAACCAAAAAAAAAAAAAAGAATAACCTTTTCCATTTAAAAAATTATAGGAGGGGCTGGTGAGATAAAGAACACTGGCTGCTCTTGTAGAGGATGCAGGTTGAGCCCTTAGCAACTGCATGGTGCATGCAACCATCTGCAACTCCAGTTCCAGGGGATCTGACACCCTCTTCCGGCCTCTCTGGAGACCAGTCACATATGTAACACCCATACACATAAAATGATAAATGGGAGCACAGGAAGAACAGGTAACTTGTTCAAGATCATGTGGTTGGGAAACAGATGGAGGTTAAAGGTCATGTGGTTGGGAAACAGATGGAGGTTAAAGCTCTGGGTCTCACTCTAGAGCAAGAATAAGAGTTGCCATCTTACCTCTGCACAGGCTTCATGTTAGCAATATACAGACCTAACCAGTGGCCTGGATTATGATGGTGTCCTGGAAGCACTGAGAAATGAGAGTCCTGAGTCTTGTAGTTAGAGCTATAGTTTGACCTTTCCTCTGCCATTCATTGTCAGGACAGCCTGGGACAGGTGCCTCAGGGTTGTAGGCTTTAGTAGTGTAGATGATGTGTGCAGGAGAAATCCTGAGACACAGTGCGTGCCAGCCAGTGAGTTTTATCCCCCATTCTACTCCCAGTCTCTCTCAAAGGCTCTGTGATCTGGAACTTAGCAGATCATTTTAGACCTCTTTCAAAATGAGACTAGAGATCATCCAAATGATGGCTCTATCTGGAGCATACAGGCAGGTCAGCCATAGTAATTTCTAGAAGGAATCTTTGTGCTAGGAGTCAACTCTGTGCACCACAAACAGCATTAGTGAAACTGAAATTGTTTTGCATTGGTAGGACCATTTGGCTCTTCAGGAGGGGTAAATCCTGTTTCTGGGAAGCTGAAAAAGCCCAAGGTGTTCGTGACAGAAGGAAAAGACGTTGCTCTTACAGGAGTATGTGTGTTCTTCATCAAGTCTGACCCATCCAAAGCCATTACTGCTGAGAATATCCACCGGGTAAGGGGATAGCCATTTACTTCAAATTTCTCCAAACCTCATACATTGCTCAAATCTACCCCTTCTTGTAGAAATAACCACAGGCTTACTCAAGTGTCTAAAGCTACTTTCAGGAGTTGGGGCTTTAGTTTAGTGGTCAAGTGCTTGCTTAGCATATGCAAGGATCTCAGTTTAATGCCTAGGATGCACATACAAATAAATAAATGGACAAACAAACAAATAAACAGCAAAGAAACCCTGTTTTCATTTCTTTTTTTGCATTTAAGACAGGCAATTTACAAGATATTGCCTTCTTATCTTTTGATAATGAGGAATTCATAGTCAATTTATTAATAAATATTCACACAACATTGTATCTCTGTATAGAGGGAGCTCTTTTCTTTCCAAAAGAAACTTCCACCCATAATTTACTCATTAGTAAGATTTCTAAAAGTGGATATACAACTTTATGTTTTGTGTAAAGCAAAGTGCACCTATACAGATGTTCCTTGTGTGTTAGAGGTTGTGTGACCTCCTTACTTTCTTGTAGCAAATAAACTGGTGAATATCTAGAATTAATTTATTTCATTTTTTATTTAGGGGGTTATAATTTGGACTGGTATAAAAGTATCCTTCTCAAACAGAGTATCAAATACAAAAGATTCACTGGCTATTTGGTTAATTAACATGTGCAGTGACTTCCTTGCTATGCTGTAGTCGAGGCTAATTTTCACAACACAGGATGATGAAATTGTCTTCCAGGAGGTGAGCTTCAACACGTTAGACACTGCAGATGGGGGCCTGCTGAACAGCGTGAGGCGTCTGCTCGCAGACATCTTCATTCCAGCCCTCAGAGACTCCAGCCATGGCTGGGGTGAGCTCCAGGGACTGCAGGATGCGTCCAGCATTCGACAGGAGTTCCTGAGCTCCCTGGAAGGTTTTGTGGGCATCTTGTCAGGTGCACAGGAGAGTCTAAAGGAGAAGGTAAGAAGGAGTGAGTGGTTCATTAAAAACTGATCAGATTCTCAACAAATCAAAATATGAGGGTTGATACTTTTCTTACATGGACTTTATTTTACTGTGTTGGAAAGTCTTCAAAGTGCTTGTAGGTAATTTCAGTGTCTTCTGAGGATGTAACTGTGGCTTGACTTAAATACATACAGTGTGCAGGGTGTAATGTTTTTGAGTTATGTAAGAATGTTTATAGTAAGGTTTGACTCAGTCTGACAGATGGAACATAGGATACTTGTGTCACTGATGTACATCCTAGAATGAAAAGGAGTTTGGAGCTATAGGAGTGTGTGTGTGTG